AAGCAATTTCTGGAATGCCCCTCCCTGCATGATGCCCACTGGTCCTGACTAGGGAAGTTGGTCAGAGCTGTATTTTCTCCTTTGGGATCTGTGAATCCCGAAGCCCCTTCTCAAGTGCCATCATAAGCGCCAGTGTCTTCCTTAGCAGATTTCCCGAGAGCCTCCACAGAAGAGGGCCGCCTGCAGGCACCATTTGCCCTGAGAGATGCTCTCCAGAACCCTTAATCGGCTTCATTATATTGGAAATGTTTTCATTCCCCCAATCTATAAAATCACCCAGGATATTTTGAGGTGTAATGGAGGATTACATGTTTTACAAAATGTATTGTCTCACCAATAACCTGCCTTACAACGTTTGTTTGTAATTCCAACTTCTGCTTTTAATAGCATTTGTGAAAAAATAAAGAGCCAACGAAACAAAGGCTCGGAAATACAGATCTTGACAAGCAGAAAGTCACTCAGATAAAGGGCTTCTATTTCCTTTCTCAAACTAATTTGTGCAGTGTCTGCTTGAGGGCTTGATTTGCTTCGTTTTGCTTTGTGATGATGAAGGGTTGCATTGGGGATTCGAAACTTTCAGATTTCTTTAATCATAGCAGTGACGAGAGAAAAGTCTTCATGTACCTACTCAGCTCTCCTTAACCAATTACATATCCCTTTCAACAGGCTAGCTGGGTCATTTCTAAAACTGTTTTCTAAACTAATTAAAAAAAAATCCTACATGATCTGTCTAGCATTTAATCAGTGAAATAACAAATTGAAGAAGGTATTAAAGTAATGTCAGGGAAAAATGGACAACTATTTTTCCTAGCTGAAGAATAGAGAAGGTATTTAGAAAACAGTCTTTAAAAAGATTTGCTCTCAAACATTCCCGCTTAACATATAGTTAGACCAGTGGTTCTCAACCTGTGGGTCGGGACCCCATTTGGGGTTGAACGACCATTTCACAGGGGTCGCCAAACAACGCAGTCCGCCGTTTTTTCCCTCCTTTTCCTTAGCTGTGCTACTCCCTTTTATTCTATTGGCTTTTGAAAGCCAATAGAATAGACTCTCTTGAATAGAGTCTAATTCTATTGGCTTTCAAAAGCCAATAGGAATTGTCCAGGCTGTCTCTGCCCTGCTCAGCCTGCCAAAAGTCCCATTCTGCAAATGGTGCTGCACCAGTTGAGTAGTCCTCGATTTACGACTGGTTGAGTAGTCCTCGACTTACGACCGGTTGGGGGTCGCAGCATTAAAAAGGTTGAGAACCACTGAGTTAGACTGTAATCCATCACTAAAAGATGCTTCATTGATACTGAAAAAAAATGAATTTGTAGCTAATCAAAAAAGAACTGTCTTCTTCAGAAGCTTCCTTGGGCATTCCACAGACCCAGAAGCTCGTGTCTGAAGAAGCAAAGGTGTTGTCTGGAGACTCCAAACCAAAACAGAGGGATAGAATCAAGATCACGTGAAGTATTAATACCACTTTACAATGCCTTGGTAAGGCCACACTTGGAATACTGCATCCAGTTTTAGTCACCACGATGTAAAAAAGATGCTGAGACTCTAGAAAGAGTAAAAAGAGCAACAAAGATGATTAGGGGACTGGAGCCTAAAACATATAAGGAACGGTTGCTGGAATTGGGTATGTCTAGTTTAACGAAGAGAAAGACGAGGGGGGACATGATAGCAGTCTTCCAATATCTCAGGGGTAGCCACAAAGAAGAGGGAGTCAAGCTATTTTCCAAGGCGCCTGAAGGCAGGACGAGAAGCAACGGACGGAAACTGATCAAGGAGAGAAGCAACTTAGAACTAAGGAGAAACTTCCTGACAGTTAGAACAATTAACCAATGGAACAACCTGCCTCCAGAAGCGGTGAATGCTCCAACACTGGAAGTTTTTAAGAAGAGACTGGCCAGCCATTTGTCTGAAATGGTGTAGGGTTCCTGCCTGAGCAGGGGGTTGGACTCAATGACCTCCAAGGTCCCTTCCAACTTTATTATTATTATTATTATAGAAATCCTATCACTATCACATTCTTTGGACATCATTTTTGTTCCTTTTGCCTGGTAGTGACAATTGAAGCTTCATATTCTGCCTTTCCACAAGTAATCAGGTAACTGGACATATAGCTTTCTTCCACAACTTCACAGAGACCTACATCATTCCTTATTTTTAACCTCAAGACATCTTGAAATGAGAAAAAGGATCTGAGCCAAAGTCACCCATGGAATTTCCATGGCTGAGCATGGATTTCAACTGGGGTCCTCTCAAGTCATAGACCAACACCTTAATCACAGTACCAAGTGGACTCTGGTTGTGGACCGTAACAATAAAGTTATTAGATAAGCTGCTCCTGATTGTTCTGATGTTTGGTTGTGGTTCCTGCGCTGAACTGTTTAGTTCCTCTTTGGCCCCATTATATTGTCAACCAGCAGTTCTCTGTATTAGGAACCTAACCACTTAAGTCTTGATTCTCACTGTCAATCAATTCTCTTATTGTGTGAGAGGAAAGTCAGTTCATAAAATCTGTAAGTTCTCTTGGAGATGAAACTAGCTTGTATTGTGTTGAAAAAACTATAGAGATAGAAACAGCCACATTGCTTGAAGCAATGTGATAACATGGCCATATTTGTACTAAACAGCACAGTAATTGGCTTACTGAATATGAGTTGAGTTGCTGTGAACAATTATTGAAAATATATTCAATATTATTTCTAATTCTAATTTTGGTCCATTTCATTCTGTTCCGTCTTCTTTCTTTCAGAACCATGGCTATAATACAAATGGTGTACAAATCAGAGCTAACTCAAGATATTACACAACTCTACAAACCTTCCTTATATAATCTGAAACATATAATCCAAGATTTCTTTTCTCAGTTGGCCATTTGTTGCAGAGAAGAGCAAGAAAGATGATTAGGGGGCTGGAGGCTAAAACATATGAAGAATGGTTGCAGGAATTGGGTATGTCAATTCTAGCAAAAAGGAGGCATGATAGCAGAGTTCCAGTATTTGAGGGGGTGCCACAAAGACAAGTGGGTCAACCTATTTTCCAAAGTACCTGAAGGCAAGACAAGAAACAGTGAATGAAAACTAATCAAGGAGAGAAGCAACCTAGAACTAAGGAGAAGTTTCCTGAGAGTGAGAACAATTAACTAGTGGAACTGCTTTGCCTTGTGGGAACTCCATCACTGGAGGATTTTAAGAAGAAACTGGACAGCCATTTGTCACAAATGGTACAGGGTCTTCTGCACAAACAGGGGTTGGAATAGAAGACCTCCAAGGTCCCTTCCAACTCTGTTATTCTGATCATTTAAAAATTCTGTGACTAGCTCCTGTGTGCTGAAGAAAGTGCAATAGCCACAGGGACCTCGAGAATCTTGCTGGAGACTTGCTGAAAGAGCAAAGGAAATTCTCCCCGCATGGCCCTGTCCTAGCAATTGACAAAACTATTTTTTATTATTCCATTGAAAGTTGAAGAGCAAAAGTGAAGCGAAAGAAAAATGACTCATGGCTGGACTTGTGTGCAGGAGTCACACATGGCTGATCAATGGTTTCCTCAAATTCTGAGGTTACTTTGAATTGCTTCATTGGTGGCATCCCAAATAATGGCAGCTCCTAAACAACTTTCATGTTTCATCTCCCCCCAAAATTGAAGGATTATCTCAGATCTATGAGCTATCAGCAAAAACCTGTCCCATTTTGTACTGCAGAAATTTCTGGGATTCTGAAAAGATTCCTATCATATGACAATCTCTGGGATTTTGAGATATTTAAGTACTCTTTCACTATAGTGGTAACAGATGTTCAATGATATATTTAATTTTTAGGTTTAGTGAAATAACATAGATCATTGGTTATTTTCAGTAAAAGATAATTCCTGGCGGATGCCTGAGTGTACAATAGTTCTGCAGAATTTATTTCAGCCTTTGAGCTACTGATCTAAAATGGGAATTGGGAAATTAGTGTGAGAGTGTTTGAACGAGTCTAATCGGATTCCTAGTTTGCCAAAAAAATAATGCTTTCAGAAGCACAATCTTTGGTGTAATCTCTCTCACACACAACAAGACAGATGGCACCATTAATTGCCTTTATATCTAATTAAGTTGGGGGGAAAAAAGTCGGCTTAAGTAATGCTAAAGTTGTGGTACAAGCTGGGAAACGTAGGAGATTGCAAGGTAGAACCATTGGGTGAAAGAGGCAGGCCAAAAGGGGCTGATGTGGCGATGAAAGGAGGGGAGAAGGCAAAGGGCAAAGACTTTGCTGGAGAGCCGTTCAGGGGAGAAAAAGACACAGAGGAGAGAAAGAGATCAAACTATTTAACTGGGCTCCTTGGCAGCAGGAAGTTATATGTTACACAACTGAACTCCAGCCAGAGTAAAATGGAAGCTTCTGCTCCCAAATCAAAACAAACCTTGCTTCGCTTTGTTCCCAAATATTTTCTGTTTTTCTAAAGATGAGTAACAATTTGGCTGGACGTGGAGGAGATTCTCTTAGGACAGATTGACTTCTATATGAGGTCATTCACAGAATTAGAGGGCTGAAAGGGACCTTGGAGGGCTTCTAGTCCAACCTGCCCAAAGCAGGAAACCTTATACCATCCTGAAAAATGGATGCCTAATCTTTTCCTGAAAACCTCCATTCCCTTGGGTTGATTTATTCTGCTGGCTTAAAACACAAATATTTTACCAGGAATCTACCCATCAATTTTTAATACTCTCCCCTTGATGTCAAGGAACAGAAAACCGATGGTTAAAATGACAAACCTAGCATTTGCAGGCACCCCCCGAGAAATGTAAACCACGCAGAATAGTCCCTGAACCTAAAGGCTAAAAGGGATGAGCATTTATTCCTGTGGATTTTCCAAAGCACATATTTCTGAGGATCTGGGGTTAATTAGGGTGCAGTACCAATGAAAGGAAACACTTGGCTGCATCCCACTCCGACCCCAGGAATTCAGAGGTCCTGCCGCGCTGGCCAGAGTGCCAAAGGAACGGAAGCTTTACCTTTATGGCTCACCTGCTGCCTCAAGGTCTGCGGGTGGATGAAAGTCACAAAGTCGATAGAAAAGTATCCAACCACTCCCCTGGATTTGCAGGCCTCTCCAATTTTAAAACACAGCAGATTAAGGAGCTCGGGTTCAACTGAAGCCTGAGGAAGGGTAGTTCCTGAAGACCGCAAGGGACTGTCCGCGTGAAACTGGTCCCCACAGGAAACCATCGTGACCTCCCCGGTAGGTTCAATCAGCATGTCCACGGTGAGGCTGGTGAGGCTGTCTGAAGGTGGGAAGGCTTCTATGACTCCACCTGGTTGGGGAAACGAGAGCAGCGTCAAGCCACTCATTCACGCCACCAATGCACCCTCTGCCGAAGGAGCAAAGGGATGATTCTCTTTAAAACTACCGTTTACAGCCACTCCACCACCCGGAAATTTAACTGTGGGGTAACTTTAGAGAAGGGAGGGAGCTGGGAGCCTCAAGATCATTTACATGAATAAACACATCCTTCTTTCCATCCTGGGGGGAGCATCCTGTCCAAAATTGGCGAAATCGAAGATGGCTGTCTGTATTTCATTCTTAAAAAGATAAAAACTGTAATGGGGAAGGAAAGAGGATGGAGGTGAAGAAATATACCAGTGAATGAGAACAAAGTGCTGGCGATATAATTATCCCTGATAGCACTTAGCAGGAATGTAGCAGTCTTATTTACCTTGACTCACAAACGTTTGGAGGAATTTCCCCCATGTAGGAAATCGTTTTCCATTGACAGCCTGGGCGTGCTGTGCTAAAAGGCCCGGCAGCTCCTGAGAGAGCTTCACCAAAGCTGGTTCCTGCAGAAACAAATTAAATAGAACCACAAGCAATTTTACTGCAGAAATGAAAACGGCTTGTGGGGTGATTAAAAACCAGGCCTCCAACAGGCAGTGTGGTTACTGTTTAACCACAGCCAGGAAGTCTTTTTTAAACGTTTCCCCTATCTTCTTTCATGTATCTGGAAACTTTGGGGTCTGTCCCCCCCCCCACAACCTCTTCCTTAAAAAAGAAGGGAATATATTTCTTTTTTAGCCCCCTATTTAACAACAGCAACACAAATGGGGGTTGAAGAGATTAAAGCCACTCATATTAACCTATTGAGAAGCTCTATTTATTCCCCTTTAAGAGATATGGATTGTCTCTTTACTCAAAGGCTTTCCCCCACCTTCTCCTGTGGGCTTACATGTAGAACCCACATTTGCGGACTCTTCCCCATTTCTGCACTCCATATAGTTTTCACGTGCACCCATTCTCTCCCCTAATGCCCCGAGATAGTTAGCGTTGGAGAGGCTACTTTTGATCTTAGCTCTTGATTTGGCTCGGATGTCCTCTCCTTGGCTCTTGTCCTACCTCACGAGCTACCTCTGAGCTACATTGTTTTGGCTGTGGGTCCCTCATCAAAACTGCCCTCAATGAAATCAAAGACCAGCTAGGTAAAACTGGGATCAGCTGGGTGCAGGACATAAAAGGATGCTGAGACAACAGGCAGGCCACGTAGGATGCTTCCCAAGGGCCTAAAACAACCACAGATTTGCACACATACAAAAGGCAACAACCCAGACCCAGGTCTTAACTTCATGGTGTCAATCAGGCCCACATTCTGGAAGCTGAGCAAGCACATCAAATTTGGCAACTTTGTACATCATGTTCCAGGTCACTCTTCTCTCACTACTTTACAATCACTTCCCTTTTTCCCTTGAGCCCTTTTCCTTCTGCTTCACGACCCTTGAAATTAGAAATGTCCCATGCTCCAAAGAGGATTAATTGCCCCTTCACACCACAATCTTGGGACTCAGTTGTTGCTCCTCCTGACTGGGTCGGACAGTGAAACATCTCCCTCGCTCCTTTCGTCCTCCTGCTGAAGTCGGGCTCTGTCCATTTTTAAATGCTTTCTGTTGGGAATCTGTGCTTTGTCCACTAAAGAGGTAAGGATATCTGCCCTTTTCTGTTTATCCAAGGTCAACTTCTGAATTTCAGACCCCAAAATGTATTTTTGGACTGTCTGGAAATAGAACAGCTCCCTCTTCAGCATGTGGCCTGGTTAACTTATTTGGGACATCTACTGCCCATAGACAGAGAATCCCTGAACACAGCTGAATCTTTCTGAATAATGTCTGGAAAGGTGCAAGAGGGAGGCTCCTGGAGATTACATGCCCTATAGCCTACCTTGAATCCAGGGGAACAAGCAGAAAACAAGGAGTCGCACAGTGTGAGGCTAAGCAATCCCAACCTGCACTTTTTGCAAAGGGAAGTTCTATCTTATGGGGTATTACTCTTTAAATGAACTAACTGATTTGCTGGGAGTTGGGCAGCATATTACTATTATGGTTCATTGCACAGCCAGCCAGATGTTCAGACTGGATTTGGCAGTTTTGTCCATCTATCGAATCCTTTCTGAGGACCTGGAATAAGCAGATGTGGATGCTTGGCATCGCCACAGGATGTAAGCTGCTCCAAGCAAAGCTGCCTTTTGCAATTGACTGATGAGGATTTTGTCAATGTCAATATTATCATTATTAGTAATAATAATCCAGGGATCCCAGTGGTTATTGACACACTGGGTGCCCTATCAAAAACTCTTGAAAGACACTTATAAAATCTGTAGATTGACAACAATTCCATAGACTAATACATTACAACATCCTAGGTTCTTGGGAAGAACTCAGTGAGAATGAAGGACAATACCAGCTAAAGGACTGGCCATTGAGATTTCACACTGTTGTGTACATAATTATTATTATTTGGTTGTTCAGAATTCCTGATTTTTCAGAAAGCCTTTGGACACGTTACACTTCTTAAGAAGGCTGAGAGGCTGTGTGTAAGGGAGGCCTGTTTGTGCTGCAAGGTCACTTGATAATAAGAGTGGCAACCATGAATGGCAAACTTTCTCTTGGCCTATGACTTTTTCCTACCTTTGGGAAAGCGAAAATGTGTGGAGCTACGCTGAGGAGGAATGTCTTAACAGGCTACAAGTCGCAGGGCCCTGCAATAGCACTGAGCGTGCTGAAGAAGACCATATAGACAAGAGACAGAAGAATGAATGACTTGTGGTTCCTTTCACATATAACTAATTTGGGAATCAGAGAGAATTAATGATTTCCCATATGGAGCGCAGGGAGGGAAGACTGCAGGGTCCACAAAAATGTGCTTTTCATTGATTAACGCTGGTAAGATGCGCTGCCTGCAAATCAATACATACCATTAAGTTGCTTTAGTCTTATTATCATCAAATTAGGAAAGGCCATTTTCTCCGATCTTCCTGGGTTAGATCTCAGGATAGTTATTCCAGGATATTTAATATCTGAGATATTTATTCCCAATCCAAAAACATCCCCCCCCCCAAATCTTTGTAACGTGTCCTTTCATACCATGACAGTTCAAAGGGTTTGTCTTCTGTTTGCAATGAATTTGCAAGAGCAGAGATGATCTGACTTCTAGGAGGTCCCTTTGTTGAGGAAGGGGCAAGGTAGTAAGAAGACCGCCGGGCTCAGGGAAGGAGGTTTGGGTCCAGCCAGGCCCCACCCAGGTTCTCTCAACCGCCTTGGAGGATCATAACAGATTATAACAGAATAACAGAGTTGGAAGGGACCTTGGAGGTCTTCTAGTCCAGGGGTCCCCAACCCCCAGTCCGTGGACTGGTACCGGGCCGCAGCGTGCCAGCAACCAGGCCGCACAAACAAGCAAAACCCCATCTGCAGGATGCAGGCAGCACACAAAACCACACCCCCTCCGGTCTGCGCAAAAATCTCTCTCCACAAAACTGGCCCCCAGTGCCCAAAAGGTTGAGGACCTCTGTTCTAGCCCAACCCTCTGCTCCAGCAGGTGATCCTACAGCCAACTGTGGCAACAAAGGTCGTAAACTGGAGCATAACAACTGTCTCACTTAGCAATGAAAATTTTGGCTCAATTGTGGTCGTAAGTCGAGGACTATCTGTAAATCTAATTATCTGTCCACAAATGGCTCATCCATCAATAGCGCCAATGTTGATATATTTCTTAAATGGGCTTCTTCCCCATCTGGTTTCTAAATGATGGCTGTGATTTAAAATTCTTTCTGAGGGCCCGGTGAAGAAACGAAACTGCCTTCCCCCAGTTCGGAACTGCTCCAGACTTCGGCCCTTTGAACAGATTAACACACAAAGCGCAGAAATTTCCTCCCGTCCAACACAGGCCGATGGCTTACACGCACTCCACAGTTTGTTTTGTTTTTCATTTTTGTTACTCTTTGGGCCCTACACAAAAGAGCAAACAAATGCAGGAAATGTTTTAGAAAGCAATCCATCACCAGCCACACTTACTTAGAATTTAGGGCTACATGCTTGAATGTGCTGCTGAAAATTTGAAAATTAACAAAAGTCCTGATTTTTCCCCTTTTTTTTCATGAGATGTCATCTTTTGGAAGGTAACATCATGTAAAACAGCTGCCATTACCGAGTCCCGCAAATGGTTTTCCTATGTAAAATGGCTTTGTAAAATATTTGCTCCATCTGCTGAAAGGAGTGAAAGACAATTTTCCTTGATACCTAATGGCCCATTTCAGCTGGATGGGAAATGATTTGCCCGCCTAGCGCCTTGCGTCGGACCAAATGGTGAGGGCCTTCCGCAGAAGTCTCTTCTTAGGCAGCATTATCTCCCCTCAGCCTGGCTTCGGCTTCTTCCCATTACTGGCCCTTCACTCAGGATCAGCGCACAGGCCGAGAGTGGCCATTGTCAGAGTGGAGAGCATAGATTGTGCTTCAGTGCACAGCTGTTGGCCCCACCAGTGACCAGGAGATGACCGTTTCTCTCGCAACTTTCCACCACTTTGTGTTCCTGTTTTCCCACATCATGTGGGCCTCGCTGAGGTAGTTCTTCTGCATTCTGAATTTGCACAAATGCACAAAGTGAAAAGGATGCGGTTTCCTGCCCCACAGCTCCAGGCTCTGTGTGTGGAGGGGACTGGGGCTGAGGAGGAATGCTCCGTTGGCAAGCACAGCTTTGCCTTGTGCTTCCTTGACATCCCGTCTCAGCTAAATAGAAAATAAACCAACAGGACTGCTAAAGCAAGCTCCCCAGTGAGCTAAAGCACCAAACATAAAATATTCTGAAATAAACATACTTTTTTAAAAAGGAAAAATGCTAAAGTGAAGAGAGAAGTGAAGTTTGCAATGTTCCAAAATATTGCTATATGCTTAAGTTCGGCAGGAGGAGGACCTGTGCTCACAGTACTATTGCTAAATCATTCTGTCATTTATTTGGGCAGAGCAGCGAGTCTGGACAATTTATTTTGTCAGTGGGCTTAAATTCAAAGCCTAACTGTGGCAAAGGTAACTGAGGATGATGATGTCCTTTGTTAATATGCAGAAGGTATTTTTCTTTAATTAACAAGCTATTTCAATTTTTTAACTTATATTTAAGCAAAATCGAAATATTCAGAATCTCCTGCCTTATTGCCCCTCCCCGAAACAGAAATCCTGCAGATTTAGGATTTATGTTTAATGTTGAATCAGACAGACAGTCACGTTGCCAAGACACATTCAAGACACCTTGTTGAAGTTGATGGGAGGTGTGCAAATCAACACTTGCATCCTTTTCTGCCCATATTTTCTATTGTATTTTATATTATAAACTAAGGAAAAAGGAAAAAGAAAAGAAAAAACAGAATTAGAAACAAATACAATTATCTTCTCAGGATTTCTGAGAATGAAATTTTTTTATTTCTTCCCCATGGCTAAAAGCAATGCTTTTTTTTTTACTTGTAGGGGAAAAAAAATCTATAAATGCCACAATACAATCAATCAATCAATCAATCAATCAG